CTTCCTAAAACCATTAGCTCTACTAATCAGGAAGGTCATGTTCCCATTCTGTTTCATTAGCATTGCTTTTCTGTAAGAGTATTTCTTGCAGCATACAAATATTTTGACTATGTAGCATTTACATATTATTTAAATTAATAATCATTCAATCTAGGATTGGATTTTGCCAATTGAAATACAGTCGTAAAATGCAAGAGTGGGAGGGAGGAATCCAAATCAAACCTCCCAGGCAGACACTCTCAGGCTTCTGCTTGAACACATCCAGTGAAGAGCCCAACATCTCTCTAGGTCATTGGTTCCGCTGTTCAGTTTTGCTTTGATCTCAGTGATACTAAACCACAGCTGCAAAAAAGGGAGCAGGATCTTCCTTGCTCTAAAGGGGTGAGCCACTCATATTCTATGCTGACTTTTTGAAATCACCTCACAGTCAAATCAAGTGATGGTCATTCATGCATTCATAGTACAGTCCTGAGTTGATGTGAATCCCCTTTCCACGATACCAACCACTAAAAGAGGACGATGCCAAAGCATCTAAAACTGTGTTCCTCCTATAAAAAGTTGGGTACACACACAGCATAAGCGATAAACGATGACCTGGGGGGGGAAAGTTCAGATCAAGCTTACCAAGAAGAGGCAGAGGGAGAACAGCAGGCAGAACTACATGATTCCATAACTTGGATGTTTTTCTGCCGGCAAGTCTAATAAGCTGAAGGGATGCGTGATGAATCAGTGCGTTGCCCAGCTGGAGGGCTTGTCTGTCTTGGACAGACTCATCACACTGCGAGCATAAATATCTTCAATTGCTTGTAGCCTTGGAATGACTCAAGTTCTGGCCTTTTTGTTTTTGATCAGGCTACGTGTTTTGGCGGGATTTGAGCCTTTTGATTTCTTTTTTTAATTATAGTTTGTATTCAAGATAGAGCCTTTTGATTTCTTGGTATTTGAATGCTCAGCTAGGGCTTAGTCAGATACCATTCTGCTGATCACCGATCTCTGGACTTGGGAGCAAGACCTGCCTGGCTCACCAGCCTTTGAGCTTTGTCAACATTCCCACTTTCTGTTGCAATGGCATCACCTCTTATGATCCTGCCCCTCAGTTAGCTTTCCTACCTAAGTTCAGTGTTTCTCCAATTTTTCCAGGGCCATTCTTAATTTTAAAATGCTTTAACTCCTCTTTCTGAAGTAGCCTTTTCCAACCTTCCAGCTATGAAAGTAGTACTTTTGCTTATCTGAGCCATGACGAGATTTTTAGTCTGGCACATCTGGGACATACCAAGTTGGTGAAAGTTATTCTGAAGTGAATGCAGTCAAAGACCATATTTTTTGCCTTCCCATCCTCAACTACTCGATTTTAAAACTCAAAGTCCGTATCAGTTTCTGGCTGTGCTCGGAACGTTTTGTTGAGATAAGATAGACAGATGACCTTCTGTTGTGAATGTGGTGCTGTAGGAAGATCTGAACACTCTACTGAGCCTTCTGCTACAAAA